TTCCTGCTTTGGAGTGGGTGTGGGCCCGGAAGTGCGTACTAAGAGGTGTGTGCCAAGGATTTTAGGAAAGTGGGGGTTGAGTCCCAGCTCAGGACTGAGATCGCCGGTGTCAAGTTTCAAGGACAGGAGTGCAAGTGGTTCGGCAGACGAATAGACTTTCTGTTTTACCTTTTTCAGGACCGGTCCGTTAGCGTTGCAAACCCCGTCGCTTGGGATGGGTTCGTACTCTGTGCACGGAGGGAACACAATGGGTGTCTCTCTGTGTAAACACTTGTCGTCATATGGCCTCACAGATCTCTGAATCAGACATGGATGGCCTCAGCTGGAGACTGTGCTCTCAACGTTCAACCTCGGAATGGGTTCGTCTGATAAATCCTGCGGACTGATAGGTGTAGTACTGCTGGCACTCATAGCACAGCCTTTGGGGCCAGTAGGGGGCTATCGACTCCCAAGGGACGACCGTTAGATTGTGATAAGGGAGAAGGAGATAAAATGGAGGGAAGTTGGTTTCAACGACGATGAATCCCGGTGTTATGTAGTAGTAATGGTGGTTACAGGTATCAGGGATAATCCGAGATTCGGGAATATCGTCCGATGGCCCTTTGGAAGTCCCAGGCACACAGGCGATCGTTCTCAGCTTGGCAGGGATAAGTCGGTCGCCTTCAGTTCGATCGGCGGAATAATTGTTCGTTTTCCCAGTATACTCTGTACTCGAGGTCCTGTAAACAGGCACGGTCGGTGATCCAGAATGGAACGCCGACGTCCATATTCTGCTAAAAGGACTTAACCCATTCATTCGCGTGTACCAAGCGCGATCGGGTCGGGGACAAGTCATGCAGACACGCGTATACGTGATGACTGTCGTTCTGGTGGTCATTCGTATACGTGCGTGCACATAATCTGTCTTCAATGAAATTCAAGCCAAATTGTTACATGCACATCTAATCTACTACCGATATTGCTATGAAGAGACGATACCTGCATACTTAATGCAAATCAAACAACCGTTCGATGCAACATTCATCATCTTGCAAGCAGAAGAAAGATGAGAGGGAATAATTATTCCCCCGCATCAGATGTCAATCGTGTATGGACCATGCATGAAGAAGATCCAACCCCTACCTAGGCGCGGGCGTGGACCGTAACAACCCGCTATGCATGTATCTATCTTGATCCAGGTTTATTCAGGGAGACAACTTCTACAGGTTTAACACAAAAAAATAGATAGTGGATCGATGTTACATACACAGAAACACGGGCGTACAAAAGGGGCGGGTCCATACACCCTTTCATATATCAACAAGACGCTTATTCTATACACACCAGGCTCGATGATCAACATTGATTCAACAACCTTCCATGCTTCCAAGTCATTCAATCAATCAATCAACTTTGGTACCCGCCATACATTCCGCACAAAAAAAAACAAAAGAAGAAATGGGGGAGAGAAAGATAAGTCATGCATCAATCAGAGAAACGAAAATCCGAGAGTGTCGCGAACGAAGATGACCAATGCCGAAAGCAAAATTATACAGAAGGTTCAGATAGAATAGAAACGAAACATCACTCCAGCACACCACTCTCTCTCTCTCTCTTTCTCTCCGCATTCCTCCGATGTGGGCAGCCCGTCGCCTCACACCTATCAACACCACAGAGTCGTCACCCTGCTTAGTTCGAGTCTGCAAGCCAGGTTCACCCGTGTGCCGCAGTCCTTCACGACCACACGTCAACCCCGCATACCCAGCACCAGCCCGTCAGATCGCCCAACTCCCTACTCACCATTCTGTCTCTGCTCGTTCGTCGATCCTCTCGACCTCGCTAACTCCCAAGTGTAGATTAGAGAGAGAATTAGTTGCACTTAAAAAAATTATAGCATTAGGTACTTGTGCGAAATAATTCCGGATTACGCTGAAGCAGGATGAGAGAGAGAAGAAAGAAGTGCCTACAGCCGCATGACTGGGTAGTGGCGTGGGGGACGTGGCCACTCTCCACCTATGAATCCCCCTCAGCGGCGGCCATCCGCGGTCAAGTTCACGGTCGCGGCCTAGGCCGCGACCCCGCGGACGTGTCCGCAAGGCCGTGCGGCCTTTGCGGCCGCAGCGGCCAGTGGGGAGGGGGGTTCGGGATTCGGGAAGCGCCATGGGGCGGCGCATCCCAAGGCCCACCCCCTCAAACAAATAAAAATAAAAAAAACTAATTTTTGTGTGGGGGGGGTTGGGTGGATGAAGGTATTAAAAAAAAAAAAAGA